CGTAAACAGGAGTTCACCCACCCCGTTCTTCGGTGGTTCGTCTCTCCAAAACGGATCCATCAAATCCCAAATGGAATGATCCATTGGCTAAATAGCTCCGCAAACTAACTTCCTGGTACTGCTGACTGCACGTTACGCCACACTGGTTCGTGCCCACCCCACAGGCACACGCGTCGGGCGTGAACACCCCCTCCCTCCATCAAAAATGGAGTAAATTTGCCTGGCCTAACAATGTCATGGCGAGCTGCCAAAAATTTCCTTGAAGTAGTCCGGCGAAAAGTACCCTTGATGATCCACGTAGCTGGTCGAAAATAACCTCTCACATCACACTATTTGCTCCACACAATCATTCGCTGCACGAACATCCACAGTCATGCGATGATCTCCTGCCTCGGGTTTATTCACCACATGAGGTGTAGAGCATCAGTGACTTTTAAGTACCTGTAGCAGAGACCAGCGGTAATCAACGCATCAATGTGTTTTTTTAGAAATGTACGGTGCGTTGGTGAGTATCGACGCGCTCGACACCGCACTGAAACAGCTCCAAGTTTGAGCGTAACTTCCGGCGAGGGCATGTCAAACGGTGGATCTCGCTCAATCACTAGCTGGAAGACATCGATCAGCTCCATGAGAACGGTTTGCAGTTCTGCCACATATTCCGGTAAAGCGCTCCACGTCTAGCTTCGTCAATCTTCTCTAAGAGAAATCGACGGATTTGCTCACGTTTAGTGTCGACACCCTCCTCGAGCGTCGAAAAACACGCTCTGTCTTCATTTTCATTCAAAGCACGCTCATCTTGTGTCGGTTCTAATGAGTCCGCTACCCCCGTATACGCCAACACACTCGGTACCCCACGGTCGCCTCCGTCATCCACGTCGCTCATATCCCATTCAGAGCTGAAATTTTGTGCGGCGGCAACTAGCTTTTCAGCACTGAATCCAAGTCTCTCCATTATCCACCTCGATAACAGTATTTACCCCACTCCTATGGACAGTGGCTGCTCTGTGACCCAGCAAATTACTTTCCGCAAAATCAAAGGACTACTTGGTGTTGCAAAACCCAAATTTAACTTCACTTTACTCTTCACAGGTACAGGTTGAAACCCCATACCGGTCACTGCAGTCTTTTCCTCCAAGTCCTGGTGCGTGATCCATGTTCCTTGCTTCGAAATTGCCGTCTGAAGCTTGGAGGTGATGACCAAGCTAGTCCTTCACAGTAGCTTTGAGCGCATATGGGCGGAGAGCTTCTACCAGATACCCCACCACTTTCTTTTGTTCAACTTGAAGCACGTCCTTCATGTTAAGGCGCATTCTCAACCGGCCGCACCGCACCATCGCACAATTTTGTTCCGTGCGGTCGCGTCGGTTAAGAACGGTTATGCAACGCATAAAATACATCTTAAGCAGCTGGTATTTAATAGATCTTGTCATTAGTGGAAAATATTTCTTGAAGAGAATATGACCTCAAAGCTCGTGGACTGGAGGCATCTTGGAGTACATAAGGATAAAGAAGAGAGCTGTACGGTCTAACAAACCAACTAACACCGGATACAAAGCAACATGCAGGTGATGCAACTCGAGGTGCACTACGCCCCATATCCCACCGGGCAGATTAATGAATTTGAGTCCTGTACCAACAATGCCTGCCCTAGCATCAAATCATCCCCAAATACAAGGTGTCTACACAGTGCAACAGCAACAAGAAAGCCCTATCCGGTCAGAAAACCTAGCAGATAGATTGCTAGAAGGGGTGGATAGCTCAGATGACAGCGACATAGTGGAGTCGCGATCTGCTCTGGTGGATTATGAGAGCTGGTCAGCGGATGTGATTCGGAAAGAGTGTACCAAGAGGGGCCTCAATCTAAAGGCTGGTTTGCGGAAGGGGAGCGTATTTCAATACGTTTGCGTCATGACGCTGCGAAGCAGGCATATGACGGCCTTCTATTAGGAGATGGTGGGCAGCCTACAGGCAAGAATGCAGTGTCAGCCCGTACAAAGCATTGTATGTACAGGCTGATAAATATTCTTTTTTTTTTGGATGAGATCGCCACGCGTTTTAGTCAATCATGTTTGTTATACTACATAAAATGCGATGTTTGTCTGACGAGCACTATCTAATGGAGTGATGGCTGCACTTTACGTTATTTTTTTTGTTTTAGGTAACACTGCACCGAGAGCGGACGTAGATAGCAGGACGCTGCGTGAAAAGAGCAGCTTCTGGCAGGATGTGCAAGCCGCATTCGTACAGAGGTACCCTCTCGATCATGAGCAAAATCAATTGATGTTCGACCATGAATTATTCAGAAGAGTAAATCCATCGCTGGTCAAGCCACACTCGTCTAAGAAGCTGTACGACATGTCGAAAGAGATTATTCGACTTTACTTCTCCGCGGATGAACGAATTACAGCTTCGGGCCAGAATGAAAACGACTTTCCAAACTCTGTAAACAAGAACGGAGCTGTCCCTTACCTGCGCAATGGCTGAATGTACGTCAAAATATCTCATTTCATTAAGCAAAAGTTTTACGCTCTTATATACATGCATGTTGTTTGATTCTTCTTTTCAGATTAAACGCGACCTGACAAACTCTGTTCGTGGGGGACTATTTGCTGAAGATGAATTTGACACGTTGGAGGCATCTTCGCAGTTGCACAACTCTGAAACGACAAAACGTAATTACAAACAGCGGAAAGCAAACGATTCCTCGGAGCTGGCTTCAGCCTTTCGAGCGTACGTCGATGATCGACATATTAAAGGGGAGCATGCTCGGTCTTACCTCATACTAAATCATCGTGTATCTTGACAAAGCGACGTGTGTTCCCCACGGAAAGTTGGACTTGGGGGAGGGTCCATCTCTCTCAATACCGAGTAAAATCGGTGACCTGAATGGTACTTGATAGAGCCGGCGCTTAAATTTATAGGAGAGCAGACGCTGTCTTCGCTGAGAAGATATTTTTCTGGAATATACGGGAGGATATACGCCGACTAGTGCTAAGGTGCAAGAGAGAGCACAAATACTCTCCCTGCTTGGTGATATTCGCAGCCAGTTGGGAGATACTGACAAAGTGCTCGTGAATAGTGGCGATGAATGCCAGCGTCTGCAGAAAGATCGCGAGCTACTCGTATTAGAACGGCAAAAATGGACTGAGAAGCTCCAAAGTGTGGGGTTGTAGCAAGAACGTTCATGACACAGTTTGCATTCAATACATAACATTTTTTCGTAATAGTGCTGCATTCGATGTTAACGTGAGGGTGATGTAGATCTTTGCTTGATTTTTTTTATTTGTTTAGTGCGGCGTTCAATATTGAGCCGCGGGCGATGCAGTTCTTCAGTTGCTATGTACTGGACAACGATTTCGCGCGTCACATCGTCATTAATTTCACAATCTTGCCACCTTCCGTCTCGTACTCAGTATAAGTGTAAGATAAGTCGCGGCATTGGTTCCAAGTGCGAAGTTTTGATTTAATTGATCTGGCTGAATGGCACGGGTTCTCCAATTCATTCTGCTCGATACAAAAAATATGCAAGCGCATACATCCATGTATGACGTGAGGTGCATTCCTTAGCCACATACATAATGGTCTCTTAAGAAGCCTCCACCTATTGACGAGTAGGCTAAATACCATCTCTATTCGAATGCGACACAACGCTATAGTAAAGTTGTAGCTGTCGCGATCGGGTCTACCTTGAAGCTGGACTATGTTAAACGGTGTCAGCACCGTTCGGCTCTGAGTGTACGCGTTGTCGGCAACGACAAAGTAAGGGTCCTTTATATCTGATAATAGTTTGCTAAGTGACCACTGCAAGAAAGCCACAGAATCATTCCGACAACCGGGAGCGCGGCAAGCCATCGAGGTAAACCGACATGTGTCGTCGGCACACGACTGCACATTTAGATCATATCTTTGGTAGTGTCCAGAGAAGAAGGCAATCACGCGTCCACATTCCGAGCTGCGAGGCACTCGTATGGAGCACAACCACCCATCTATAGCTCCAATACAACCCGGCATTGCACCACCCGTGTTAATAGATCTGAAACCTGCTTCACTTGACTCCAATTCATCGTTACTACGGGGGAATTTCATTGCTAGCTGCTTGCAATTATTGATATTTCGTAGAGCAGCATGCACTACACGATAAAAAGCGGCCCGACTTGTACCCATAATTACACGTATGTGGTGATAGCTACCACCAGCCAGCCAATTGACACACGCTTGCAGCATTCCTGCAGGAGAAAAGGGGACTCACCTTGAGCACACCGCGAAGATTGAAGATGGTCTATGGAAAGTCCTGGGCCGACCAAAGAAAGAGGTCTTTCGAAACCCGCGTAGCTCAAGCAGTAATACTGCTTGAACTCTCCTTCTAATAGCAAACGTTCAACATGAGCAAACCAGTTGATGCGACGTCGAACTACATTCATTTCGCTGCCACTCGAACGCTCCTCGTCGGTGACAGTGGCAGCAAGCGCAGGCAGAACAACAGCACAGAACTATCCCCTCTCGTTGGACGAAAACATGGCTAAAGTAGGGATTTGAACAGTGCAGCTTCAACTGAGCATGTTGAAGCGGAGAGTGATTTGATTGGCGCCGTCCACAAATAGTACCTAACCGCGTTATGCAGTGATATCACCGCATGTGATGAAAAGCTCGCACAACAGCCTATTTTTTTGCCAACGCTGCATGCGACCACCTAGCCCTTCATTGATTCATACCCAATGATAATCCTCTATTTAGTCGCATGGGCCGGTTGAGAATGGACCTAAGCCGATCCACAATTTCGTAAAAGTCCGCCAATCAATCGAGACAATCTCGACTCAAGCATCTTGAAGCTCTGTATCTATACATATGTTCTTGACCTCCCGATCCAGTGTCTTACAGGCCCGTCTTGTCAAGCATCCGAGCAGAGAGAAAATAATTGCGCCACTCCGCCTCTGTCACGTCCTTTTCTCTTTAAAAAGCTCAAACCCGCAAATTCGGATCATTGTTCCTTGCTCAATACAAGAACTTAAAGACATTGCAAAGACGTTCGCTTGAGGTCCTTGATTCAGTGCCTGCATACGCCTAGAGTAGATGGCGTAGCTGCCCATAAAATCTCTCTTCTCTTTTAGCAAACTTCCTCGATTTATTGGAGGCACAGGCAGATTAGTTCCAGTCGCCACAGTGACGGCCGGTGCTTGCGTCAAGCGACAATCCCTAGGAGGGACTGCATCTTGTGCAAACGCGCCCCAACGGGCCTGTATGTGAGCTGTACTGCCTCAGCCAAGATCTCCAGACGCCGGCCTTGGCGTCCTACAGCTTCTTCTGCAGCACGCAGCAGTCGGTACTGCTCTTTTAGGAACTTTCTATGCTCGTCCATTTGACGCTTCATTTCTTACTATTGCCCCAGCAACGCCGACTGCCGGTCATGCTGCGCTTGGAGATACTCAGACGTCTTTGCGGCAAGCCGTTTTGCTGCTCCTGCACTCAGCCAAGCTGCACTGCAGTCCTCTGTTGTACCACTGCTGAGTCTTGGACCAGTGATTCGAATTGGCGACTCGTCTCCAGGGGTTAATAGTATTTTCGAAAATAGTAGTCTTGGGTAATACTACTACTACTACAACTTTTTGAGCATTGCTACTACTAATACCCTATGAACGGTATTCACTATGAGTATTAGTATTACTCACTCGAGGCGGTAATACAGTACTTTCAGATTACTACTTTCAAAGGATCCGGAACTGAGTGGCTCTCGTCCCTCGTTGGAGGGAGATTGCCATTCTCCCATTTAAAAATTAAACTGTCAGACTGCTCGTGAGCATGGGCTGTGCTGTAAAAGGCTGCCAAGAAGACAATAGGCTTAAGACGGACCCGTGCAGCATGTGTGGGAAGCCCACACACCACATGTGTGCTATTGAAGTTTTCGAGGGCACTGACACGGCGCTGAATGAGAGGTAGCGGTCTTGATTTCATCTGGATTGTATTGCTCATACCCCTACTAACACTACATTACAGATTTTGCAGTCAGACTTGTGTTAAAGTCAACTGTAAAGAACGATGGCCACAAGGCTCCTGCGGTGGCCAAAGTCATCGAAAGTGGTTTGAAGTCTTAGTACGATATTTGTGCCATGACTCAAAATTACGATGTCCAATACTACTCCATCCGCAAAAAACGCTGCTGATCATATTGACGCGGAGCAGGAGGACTGTACCATGCATCTACTGAATCTGTACATTGGATACGGGATCAGTCTTAAAGACAATATCCAAATAACCACAGTCTGAAACGACACTACAAACTCATGGGATAAAAAGGTCAAGATGGCCACACCAGGAGATGTTTTTGATGAAGGCGGATCTGTTATACATAAACTGCGTGACTTAAGCAACCATTTCAGGTCTTCAAAGCAGCGCGGTGCATTAAAGAAAACACAGGAAGCTCTGTCCTATCCGGAACTCGATCTAATGA